TGCCTGCCATGTGAAATGTAGTTCTGTCAATAACTAGTCCACATGGCCAGTCCTTTTTTTTTTTTGGTATTGTTTTATCTCTCTTCCCAACATGATCTTATGATCTTTCATTGGTAGGTTGATAAAAACTTTGTCCAGAATATAGGGATATAGCAAAATATAAAATATATACCACCATTGGATATTTATGAACTGACCTCAGAATAAAGAAATATATTTATTCATAAGCAAAACTAAAGTCAGCAAGTTAGCTAAGGATTCGTTCTTTTTTTTTTTCAAAATCTATTAGTTTTCTTTTTTCTTTTTTTGTTGTTTTTGTATTCTCTCTCTTTAAAATTAAAATCCTGCCTTTATAAACAAATGTTGGGTTAATAGCATGGTTTATTGTAGTATAGAATTACACATTTTACCCTCATTCCAGCATCTAATGTGTAACTTCAGTATGTTTTCATGAGTGACTTGTACTTCTGAAAATATTCCACTTAATAGGCAATTTTAATGGCCAAGACTTAACATTCATCAGCCTGAAGATTCAAATGGTGGTCTATCTTAGTACCTACCAGGAAAACTAGCCCTTCCAAACTGGTATCTTAAGGCCGTAAACCCATCCCAGATGCACATTCCTGAATTTGAGCCATGGAGAAAGTGGGGCTATGAGTAAGACTGGTATACAAGACATTTTAGTGAAAGTTTTCCAAACACTATTTCCTGTGGACCAAAGAGCTATTTCTTAGAGATATGTATATTTATTCATCTAACATTTTTTCCCATGTAGACTGGATATACAAAGTTTAATATTTGTTTCTTCTGTTATTTCATTATGTATATTCATATCTGGCATGTATCTTTCAACATCTCTATAAAATGAAGCACCTCCTCTTGGAGAAGAGCCCCAATATTTTCTGCTCAAAGGTTTCCATTGGTAAAAGTGATTATGTCCAATCTATGTGACCTGCATTAGATAGCTTTTTCTCAAAAATTAAAGCCATGGATCGGGACTGGTTTTATTTGCATTAAGACTGTATACTTTGAAGGTACTTTTCCTTGCATTAATTGCCTGGATATAATAAATGGATGGAAGAAATACTTCCTAGTGATGGTTATTGACTGTTGTTTGTTGGATGTTTAGGAGCTGAACAGCATCCAATTGGAGAGAAACCCAAGCCTCTCAGGGAGAACAGAAGCACAGGTAGGGATGACTTTGTTAGAGTTGTATTACCTCTTTAATTTATTTCTGCCCTAATTTTTATTTTCTTTCTTCCACTGACTTCAGGCTTAGTTTGTCATTCTCTCTCTAGTCTTGAGGTATAAAGTTAAGCTGTTTTTACAAGAAAGTTTTTCTTTTACTATAGGCATTTATTCCCATATACTTGCATTTACTACTGATTTTTCTGTATCTCGAAAGTTTGGGTATGTTAAATTTTTGCTTTTATTTATCTCAAGATTATCTTTTTTTTTTCTTTTGATCCAATAGTCATTCAAGAATGTGATTTATTAGTTTCCACCTTTTTGAATTTTTTTTGTTTTCTTGCTGGTATTTATTTTATTTCCTTGTGGTCCAAAAGATACTTAGAATGAAATCTATCTTTCAAAATGTATCCTGCAAAGTTTTCTGAGTGTGCTTGAGAAGAACATGTTGTTTAAGTAGAAGGCTGGGCAGGATGTTATGTATTGGTTTCTATTGTTCAAGTATTCTGTTTCCTTACTGATGTTCTGCCTGGATATTTTATCCATTATTGAAAGTGAATATGAAAGTCTCTTACTATTGCTGTATTGCTGACATTTTCTCCCTTCAGATATGGCAATATTTGCTTTATATATTTAGATGCTCTGCTATTGTGCACATATATACAGTCATGCACTGCATAATGAAGTTTTGGTCAATGGCAGATGACACATTTATCATGGTCCCATAAGATTATTAAAGGCAGTAGATAGACTTGGTGTGTGGCAGGCTACCATCCAGATTTGTGAAAGTCCACTCTGTGATGTTCACACAATGATGAAATTGCCTAATGATGCATTTCATTTCTCAGCACATCTCTGTTATTCAGCAAAGTGGGCCTGACTTATATCTTATTAAATTGACCCTTTTGATGTTATATAATGACCTTCCTCATGGCTAGAGATAGTTCTGACTTTATGTATATTTCACTTGATGTAAGTATAGCCACCTTTGCTTTCTTTTGGCTCTCATTGCTGGAACATCTGTAATATTTTCATCCCTTCACTTTCAGTCCATCTGTACCATTAAATCTAAAGCGAGTCTTCTATAGAAAGAAAGTGGCTGGGTATTGTGTTTTTAATCTGCTTATCCACTCTAAGCTGTTTAGGGAAGTTTAAGCATGTATGTTAAAATAATTACTGACAGTAAACTTGCTACTGCTATTTTGTTAGTAGTTTTCTGTTTTGCTACTATTTTCTTCCTTTTTCTCTTGCCCTCTTCCCTTGTTAGTTAATGATTTTTGAGGGGGTAATCATTTGCTGAAAGCTATGCTTTTAAGGGAATGGGTTTATTTTTCTCTATGGTTAAAATTAGTTACAATTAATGTTTAGGTTTGAGAGAGGTCCTACTCCTTCCCAAGAACTATTCCATATTAACTAGTCTCTTAGCCTACTATTCTAACCATTCCAGCCCAGTCCTCATAAATAGTATTCATAAATATCATCACCGCCATTAACTTCATAAAAAATATCTTATTTATGACTCTCCTCTTTCCCCCCTTCCCTTTAGAATGAGCTCCAATATTTTTTTTAGGTTTGCCAACAGGGCACTGATTTTATTCCTAATTTATCTTTCTACTCCCCTCCATAAAATCTGTGCTGTAACCACACTGACCTACTTTATATTTTTGAATGTTCCATGCTCTTTCAAACTTCTGTGCCTTTGCTCATGCTGTTGCTTCTGAACAGAATGCCCTTCTCTACTTTTACATTTGGTAAATCCATTGGCATTCCTTAAAGCCTAAGTCAAATATGACTTAAAAAAAAATTTTTTTTTCATTTTGCAAATGGGTGCATGCACTGACCAGATAGAGACAGAGAAAGAGAGAGGGAAAATGAGAAAGCATCAACTATTGGGGAGGAGCAGGCTGCAATTTCTTTTCCTCTATAACTCCTTTTGGGATTTTGGGCACACACACTTATTCCAAGTGTGATTTTCAAGCTGCTAGTCTGGACTCAAATTGGACAGTTGGCCATGTGGGATCAAGCCTCCTTGAGCACTATCACACTGGCTGGTCCCAAATATGACCTTTTCAATGGTACAATCCTGATTTTCTCCTCCCTAAACCACAATAGCTTGAATTATCTCTGAAATCTAGTATGTACTTAGTAAATGCTTCTGAAATGAGTAATGAGTAAATCTTCAGAAATATGAAGTGGGTATTTAGTTTTGTAGATACTTTACATAAAAATAAATCTTACATTGCATAGTCATTTCTCTGGAAACGTAGGCATACTTTTCTTATATAAATTGAAATGTATTTCAAGAGAACCAATTGAGCAATGCTATTTGAAAATTAAATGGAACTTTTTGTTCTATACATGCTCTTTAATATATTTTATCTGTTTATCTGTATATGTATTTTTAAGATTGCTTAATATAGGGAAACACAGTAACCATTCAGGGTATATAGCTTTAATCTCATTTTTGTTCACTGAGTTGGGAATATGAGATAGCCATTTTCTATGGTGTATGATTACTGCTGTTATTATCTATTTTTTCTAATTTTATTTAAAACTTTGTTCACTATGACCAGCATATATTATTCTTCTTGGGAATACTGTTTTGTGACACAGGATCAAAAAGAGGAAAAAAAAAAAAAACAAAAAAACCCCAGCTTCATGCTAGAAAATAGGGAAAAATAACATACTTGGAGAACTGTACAGAAAAAGGAGACCAATGAAATAATATTTTAATATTTTATTGTGAAAACACATAAAAGACCGATAAATGATAAGACAATGCTATCTGAATTGAACATAACAAATAGAATACTATTCGTAGAGCATTGTGAAGCATGATATTTGCCTTTATGTCTTCTCTGGTCCTCTATGCTACTAGAAGAAGGTGAAATCTATGAATGGGTAGTTCTTTTTCCACTGAATTATGAGGTAGGGAAGCGCAGTCGCAAACATAGGCAATATCAGCTGTCTCTTGGCACAGTGAAGCTTTTACCTCTTCAAAGTATGATACAATTATAATTTGTTGTGGTGCTGAGCCTAAGGCTAGTTACCTGTAATATATATAATGCCCTAACAAGAAGATTAATTCATAAAGTTAATGAAGGTCCCATTTACTTACTTTGCCAAATAATTTATTTTAACTAATAAATGCGGCTTCCTTTACATCTGTTGACTAATATCAATGAATAGAAACGTATTTACACTTTAGCATTATAGAAATGCCTATTAATTTATTTTAAACAGAAATTTACTATCAAACATTTTTCTTTACACATAAAACACAAGAGTTCCTTTGTCATTATATTAACTTTTAAAACATGCATGAGATTTTCACATTACCTTTTTAAGTTACCACAGAGTTGGTGCAAAGCACCACTTTATTTTTATTTTTTAGAGAATTATTTATTTAATTTCATTTATTATTATTATTTAAAAATTTTCTGTAGATAACGTGTGCTCACCAGAGAGAGAGACAGAGAAAGAGAGAGAGAGAGCGAGAGAGAGAGAGAGGGAAAGTGGGAAAGGTGCAGAACTTGAACCATGGTCGGCCATGTTGGAATTGAGTGGCTTAACTACCACACCATCTGCTGGTCCCAGCATCACTTTAAATGAAGATAAAAATTAAAACCTACTGAAAAGATTGTGAATGATTTTAACTAGCTTTGGAAAATAACATCTGGAGCTTTAATCTCAACATATGCAAGCTTAAGAAACAAAGTAAAAAGAAAAAAGAAAACACAGTTAGTAACTCAGTCTATTATTTTTCAACCGGTGATTTTGTGATACTAATGCATAAGAGAATAGGGCACCTGTCAGACCACGGACTGATTAGGATTCTGGATCCTCTCATATTCTTCAGCATAGTGTCGATACTGATCACTGAGGAGAGGTTGATTAGCTTCATCCATCTTGCTTCTGGCACGAATCAGGTATGAAGCGCCCACAAAAATGACTGCAACCAGTAATAAAGCGGCAACCACAGCTATGGTAATGATCTCAGGTATACTAAAACCCTGACCTATTTGCAAAATAAAATAAGGGTAAAAAATGTAAGTATGAAAACAGTTATCACCAAAAATCGATCACCCCAATTTTACTCACAGTTCCAGGAATTGCAACAGAAACCCTATTTATTTTTTTCCCTTTAACAACAGCACATGTGTGTGAACATGATATATGAGAGAGACAAAGGGAACGAGAGGGAGAAAGAGAGGAGAACCTTTGAGAGGGTCTGATCATGCAACTATACCCTTTCTCTAGTCCTCCAGCTGCTCAGAATCCTGGGACCTGCACATGTGCCCACCATGTTTTCAAGTTACCTGGGGATCTCAAACCACAGTCATCCGCCTGGCTTCCAGCCTTGCTGGGCGCTTGAGTTACTGCTATATCATGGTGGCTAGGCCCCTAGACTTGATTTTTATTGGCCACACTAACTAACATACCACTTGTCATCTCAAAGGAACTTTCTAATTTCATTCAATGAGTGGATCCTGTTAGGATAATTGTTTTTATTTCCATCCTGAAGATGAGAAAATGGTGGTTTAAAGAATTTGAGTCACTCATCCAGGGTTACTTGCTTATTAAGGAGAAGAGTAGGTTTTAGAGCATAGGTGCTTTAGAATCCAAATCCTGTGCTTTTCCATTATAACACATTTGTTGAGAAAGACATTTAAAATAAAACAAGAAAGTTTTGAATTTCAAAATCTCAGTAAAAGTAGCTCAGGGTATCTCATTCCTTCTACATTTAGAATAAATAAATGGAGGTGACATGCATAGTAGGAAAAAAATCGGACTTATTACTTGGACCCAAATAAAATTCATTCTCTGTCCTTGATAGAAATGTGATCTTTGACAATTAACTACTCTCAGCCTTAGCTTCCTTATTTGTAAAATGAGGACTGTAATTCACACCTCAGAGAGTTGTAAGGCGTAAATGAGATAGAGTGCTATATATTATGAGCTCAATACAGGGGCAGAGCGAGCTCTCAAACACCTTAAATTTCCCTCTTTTTAATCACAAATCCAAATCCAAATGAAAGTTTCTAAATCCTTATGCAAAATGTAAGTTTCAGAATACTGTGATTACTTTACTTCAAGGATAGCATTTGCTTTTGGAAATTACCCCAGTGAAAGTGTATTTTTAATACTTACTTGGCCATTGCACTTCGTAAGTGTATCCCAGGTTGTCTGGAGCAGTAACAAACATTTCTGTGTTGGTGATTGGCGGCCAGAATGGCACCATATTGTATTGTCTATTGTGTCCAATAGGGGCATTTTCCAATGGAAAGGTGGATATATCTAGAATATTTTTTCCAAAGACAATTTATTAATAATCAATTTAAAATTAGTGTCATTATAATGTTCTGAAGGTGTTCAGGAATACTGAAGAACATGAAAAATGTTCTTTGATATTTTCCCTGAATAAAGACAAAGTTTCATGACAGCAGAACAGGGCATTATATAAAACAGAATTGTGGGACTGGCAGGTGGCATGGTGGTTAAGGGTGCTGAACTCCCACATGAACGATTGCAATTCGAGTCCTGGTCCTGGAAGCTTGCTCTCCCACATTCCCTCTCTCTCTTTCTCTCTCACTCTGTCCCTTTCTGGTCAAATTAAAATAAATAAATAAAATAAGTAAAGTTAAATCAAATAATTCTTTTAAAAAAAGAGTGGAAATTCTTTGAATATAGCACCAATGTGTCATTTAATAGAAAGTTAAAAGAAGGTTTAAAAGCAGGAAAGTTTTAGCGTTTTATAATACTCACTAGTTGTTTATTTTTAAATTAGAAAAAACCAATTTGGATATAATTTATTAAACTTTTTTTTCAAAGCCAAAGTACTTATAATTTGCTATAGCATCATCTGATTTAAATTTTAGAGATAGGGTATCTATTAGAGGGTATCTTTGACTATGAATATTTCTTTCATTTTTTTCTATCTGTTTTGGAGAAATCAGTATCAATTTTATTTCTACTGTTTTACTTTTCAGCAGAAAATACTTACAATTGTTAATCAAGGTCTTGGAATCCTAGTCATTTCCTGCTAGCTCTTCTCTTTCTCTTTAAATATAAGCCATGGGCACTTACATTATCAGTGTATTTTGGTCATCAGGGATAAAGGGAGTGAGAGTCTTTGTGATAAAGGATTGTTCTTTATTTTGTTTAATTTGTTTTGTTTATATTTATGAGGGAACAATTAAATACCAAATGCAGTATCAAAAAACAGAGTTGGAAGTGGGCTTGAGAAAGAGATTAATAGAAATATATTTAGCAGAGATAGAATACATGTGGAGGCTAGCCAAGAATTCGATTTTGTTTATAGGAAGTATATGATTACTTGGAGTCACTATGATCCTATAATTCACAGAAGAATTTTATTAGTGTTTAGTTTGAAGAGCAATTGATCATAGAAATATCAGGTAGTGTTCACATTTTTTGTGACTTTAAATCTATTTGTATTAAAATTAATTAAATCTTTATCTATTCAAATCTATTGAGTGCCTACTAGTGCCAGGTACACGTCTAGCACTGGGATGATAGCGTTCAACAAAATAAAAACAATTCATGTTCTCAAATAACTTACATTCTAGTATAGTATTGCTAATTATTTATTGAAGTTAGACATTATGGTTAATAACGTAGATAATTTTTGAAATTTCCTGTTTCACCTTTCTAATGACTCCTGACCTGGCAAGTCTTAACCCATTTCAGCTTCTGCTGTATGATAAAGTCATATTCACTAAAATGAGTACAGGGATAACACTGAAACTAACAATGGTTATCTGATTGTTACATAACTGCCCTATGCCAGAACCCTCAGTGGCTTCCCATGTCTCTTAAGAGTTAATTCTAACATCCCTCCGTTCTGCCTCTTTATTCCTCTGACCTTATGGTCTTTAACCATTCTCTTCATTCTCTGCTCTGCTCATACCACACTGGGCTCTTTTCTGTTCTTCTGTCTGAAGATGGTCTTCCTCATAGCACTCCCTATCCCATTTCCTGATTTTCTTTGTCTAAAAAGACTTTCCACCACATAATATACTGTGTACTTATTACATATGTTTATTATCAATTCTACTAACAGAAAAGAAAGTTCCAGAAGGAAGGTATTTGTGTGAGTTTTGTATGCTACTGTATCTCTGCTACCAAGAATACTGCCCAAGAAGTAGTAGGTGCTCATATAATATTTGTGAACGGACTTAAGTGTGTGTTTGATTACTTCATTTGTCTCATGACTCAATAAGAAAATAGTGACCATTCTGAGAACTGTAGAACCTGCTTCTTTCTGAAAAATGTGGTAAACTCTGAGCTATTATCTTAAAGTTTGACTCTGGTAATTCTCTGTTGAAAAGAAGGATGAGGAGATTGATTTAATGTACACATTAATCTAAAATGTTAGTGAATAGTAATTAATATTATAGTACTAGAGTTTGGATCTTCTCTATTATAGTATCTGATGTCTAATGAGAAGATTCTCTAATAGACATTATAATGTGAATGGCCATAATTTGCTTTAGCTATAAAATGTAATGATTGTTCCATTCTGATTCTTTTTTTGTTTATTGGAGATTTATTTTGCTATAGGGCATGTGAAGTTGCTGAAGAGACAGACAGTAAGTGAGAAATCCATTCTCCTCTTGGCATCTTGGGCAGACATGCACATACGCCCCATGTGAGGTTCAAACCAGGTCTAGGACATAAACTATGGTCGGTCATGTGGGAGTCCAGCACCTTAACCACTACACTACCTGCTGGCCTCCATTCTGATTCTAATAATTCTATAATTCTATTATTTTTTGAAGACTCCTTTTTGTTTATTTATTCTTTCCCCCCACAGGTAATTTGTAGTCGCCAGAAAGAGAGAAAGAGAGACAGTGAGAGGGAAAATGAGAAATCACCCCAGAAGGATGACTACACCACAATCCCTTTTCCTCTTTTCTTATCTCGGGATTTTGGGCATGCACACACACGAGCCTGGCATGATTTTCAAGCCACCAATCTGGGACTTGAACCATGGTTAGCCATGTGGGAGTCCAGCTCCTAAGCCATTATGCCACCTACTGGCCCTGAAGACTCTTCTATACCTAAAAAAACCTTCTGATACATTTTGAAAAATAACCCCATCATCCACTCTTAGAAATCTGTCAGCAAAGATTTCTCCATTATGGAGAGTTTTAGAAGTTCTTCCAATCTTATTGCATTTCTTTCTCCCAGCATAGTTGTTTACAACCTTGTATTCCAAGGGACATGCAGGTATATGAGCTATATAAGAAGGGAGCAAGTTATTTGAATTAAGCTTTTATGCAATTTGTGTTTACATCGACTTGTCCTATAATTTTATTGGCATGTTTTATCAGGAATATGCTTCAGCTTGTTTCTTATTTTTCATTTATGGTACTTCTTTCTTCACTGCTTTCTAGAAACCAAGAAATCTTATGCTATATATAGCACAAACAAAGGGAATGGGAGGGAACTATAAAATACAAAGTATTTTCCTGTTCAGCAATTACCTCTAATTTTAAATCTGGGGAACTTTTAATAAGTTGCTATCAATGTGAAATCATTATGTTTTCAATGAAGATATTTCAGGGAAAGGAATACATGCTTTCACCGTTGAAAGAAAACCTCCACTTAGGAGACTTGACAAATTGCCTGAGATTCTCTATTTACTCTGAAAAGTGTATTGACATTCATGGCATTGTGAATGACTGACTAAATAAAAATGGGTCCATTGCTGTTTGGCTCCAAAAATGTATGTTTAACAAGAATTGTTTTGGTTAATTCTTAAAACTATTAATTTCAGATTACTAATTATTATAGTAAAAGTTATCTAGTCAAATACACATAAAATTATCATTGTTATTGTAAAACAGAAAGAGACGTTTTTATTGTAAACAATTTGAATAGTTTGGAAAGGTTTGCTAAAGGTGACTGACTGAAATATTCCTGTAGAATTAGTGAGCAATATGATTATAAAAGGTTAGCAAAGCATTATGAATGCCTTAAGAAAATCTAGAAAACTGCACTCAGATGGCATCACAAAAGTAATTAATTTCTTATTGCACTTTAAAGAAACTGACACTGTGAATCATAGATAATTCATTATGGTTGCAATTGTACATAAAAATATATATGAAAATATTGGGTCATTGGAAAAATCATCACATCTTTTTTCTTGCATAGAAAAATGTAGAAAATATATCATGACTTTTCCAATGACCCAATATACCTTGTGAAACTCCAACTGTGAATTCATAATGGAGTAACAACTGAACAAATACGTATGTGTAACTTACTTGTTTCTTAAATAATTTTCTGATGAAACAAACTGTTATGGCAAACCATTCAAGTAATGGTTCTGATCAGGTGTTTGATTATAGGTGTTTGCTGTGCCTATGCACACATGTAAATGCACACACAGAAATAGAAGACTGGACTAATGGGTAGATAAATCAATAGATTGTTAACCCCTAATATAATTTTTATGTGTGTGATGAAGTAAAGGCATTTAAGACAAAATTTAGAACACTTTTGAAGTATAAAAACGCATGGTATTTTAACCATTGAAAGCACTTTCATTGTTTGAAAACTAATGCAAACCTCTCAGCTGAGTAAGAGTGCAGAGAAAGAGGCCTTTTAAATATTTTAAAGAATGCATGGAAATGAACTTTAAAAAACATTACCTATGGTATGATATAAAAACCAACATTAACTTTTCAGCTAAATGAAATTTCCATTTGCAAGAGGCCATAAAGTAATAAAAATCAGAACTGTGGATTATGGGTATAAATTTTGTAGTCCTTTGGGGTATCAAAGTAGAGCTCTATAAGGTTTTCTCATGCATAGCAAAAAGCAACTAGAATACTGGAAGATATGGGAAGAAAAATTTTGGAAACATGATGATCATTTTTAGAAACGAGGAGGGATTACTTGGTTAGTCCTAGAAATAATAATAAACACCATCTTATAGTAAGTATTCTGAGAGACTTCTTGCCTGCATTTCCAAAGATTTTTATATTTTGTGCCTTACATTTGGAGTTAAGTGGATATTATAGATATTTCATCCCTATTTTGAAATTTTTTAAAAATATTTTTGCTATAGGGCATGTGCACTCACTCTCTGGAGAGAGAGAGAGATAGATAGAGGGAAAGTGAGAAATCACCTCCCTCCCAGGGGGGATGGCCACACTGTAATCCCTTTTCCTCCACTCTCCTGTCAGAATTTTGGGCACATACACACACACACACACAGGTGCCTGTCATGAATTTCAGACAACCAGGCCGGGGACTTGAACTGTGGTCAGCCATGTGGGAGTCCAGCACCTTATCTACCATGCCACCTGCTGACCCATGAAGTATATTTTAATGTATGTTAAGTGCTTAGGCTAAACTGAGAACTATGTCACCTGAACAATCATCTTGTCGAGCTTGCAAAAAGTATATGAAAGTGTCTCACCGGCATTATATCTTCTTAGCCACTCATCAAAGACTGCATCAGTGAAAGTATGCAGGAGGACAAAAATAGGATCATTTGGTGACAAATGGGTTTGTCCCCCTGTTCCATTCAGAAACAGATGAGCCAAATTGTGAAGACTTCGAACAGCAGGATCATACTTCCCTGTGGGCTCACTGTAACCTAGATAAAAAAGTAAGGATGCAAATAGTAAGAAACATTGCAAATAACTTTTCAAGTCAACAGCAGTGATTATATGAGTAAACAGTTGTTCCAAAGTTCATAGGCCAATTTTTGTCTTAATAGTATAATGCTGTTCCTCTGTACCTATGGTTGATAACATTTGCTGGCTACACCCAGAGCTAGGTTAGGTTTTAGCTAGTGGCATAACCTTCTAAATGTAGCCTGTGGGTTAAGAATAATGACCTAAAAAGGGCAGCAGTCAAAATATACAGAACAATTTATTTTGACAAGGCAGACATTATTCTACATGGAAATAAAGATAGAGGAAATCTTGAGTTTCTAGTAAAACTGCTGACACAATTGGGAGAACACTGTTCTGATTGTCCTGAAACTTAAATTGCCAGATGTTATATTAGTCTCCTATCTTAATTCTCTTGTGTGACTGTCAGCAAATTTATTTTTAGACAATTATTTTTGTGGGGAAATTAAAATTTCTCAGAGCTTTCCTACCAGCTCTACCAGTTTTAAACATCTAGAAAGCCTACTGTCAAGACATTTATAGGATTTTGGGTAAATATTTTTATTCCACAGATATATGAGTATATCTGTAAAATGGCTATATATATATATAATATATATATGTATATATAATATACACCTGTATACACATTTCATATATACATAAATATCTACATGTGATTCCACATATATAACCATATATAGTCCGATTAGATAGATATGTATGTGTGTGTGTGTGTGTGTGTGTGTTCGGTGTGTGTATATGGGAGAAGATGAAGATAGGTACAGAACAGGTCACAAAAAATTGGAAGACCTGCAATGTGGGTCAGAGTTATAGGTATGTCTGATTGACTTGAAGAACCAGAGGTAAAAGAGTAGAGAAAGGTTATATGTTTAAAATGAAACCAGAATACAAAGTATATTCATTTGTTTTCTCTAAATTTAAGATTAATTGTATGGTTACAGCCACTTGTTAGTTCATTTATTTACTTTTCACACAATTATCCCATTAATTTTCTTTTTTTTTTTTAAAGAGATTTTTTCTCTAGGGTGTGTACACTCTCCAGAGAGGCACAGAGAGACAGAGAAGCAGAAAGCAAGAATCACCCACCCCCCCGCCATGGGGAATGACCATACTGCAATCCCTTCTCTTCCACTCTCTCAAGATTTTGGGCATGCACGCACATGCTCCCAGCATGAATTTTAAGCTGCTGAGTTCAGGACTCGAACTGCAGTTGACTACGTGGGAGTTCAGCAATGTAAATTGCTGGGTCTATTCCATTATGCCAATTGCTGGTCCTATTCCATTGATTTTTTTATTCAAAACATTTTTTTAAAATTGCCTAAAATGTACATGCATGTGGTTTCTCACACATTCTGTAAGGAAATTGGCATACTCATTTTCTAACTGGGAATTGATAAGATTCACTCTAACATTTGTTTAGAAATTAATACTTACAGTCATAGTTTACAGGTACCAGTTTAGTCAATATATAGTGATTATTTATTGAATTACTTCCAAATCAGCGCACTTACATACTTATTAAAATTAAAACAAATATAAAGATAAAGAAGAATAATAAAAGAAGAGAGAAATGAAAATAATTATCAAATTTATATATCAAGTATCTCAGATCATAGAACAGAAAAATCTATCCACTCTTTTTATTTCCCAAAGCCAAAGCTCGTCTTACATGTGCAATGCTTTAAGATTAAATTTAGCAGTAATAAGTTTACAATAAGATTAAATATGATTATATTATTTTCAAAACGCTATATATCAAGAATGATTTACAGGTATCAAAATTTATCATACAAATATATTGGATTTAGAAGTTTTGAACTTGAATTTGTTCTGTTACTAACTGGCTGAATATCTTGGAAAAGACATTTTACTTCCTTAGAATTTAGTTTACTCAGCTTTAAAATACTTTGTGTTATATAAGAAAAATCAAATTAAATATCAGTATATAGTAATTAGAATAGTTATAGACATTTAAAATAAGTTACAAAATGATATAGATCTACATAAAACCTATGCCCAAAACAAGCATTACTAAATGTCAACTAATTGTTTGGAATTTAAGAATTGTTGCTCTCACAGGGCCGGAAGGTAATGTGGTAGTTAAGGGTGCTGGACTCCCACATGGTCAACCACAGTTTGAGTCCTGGACCTAGTGGCTGCTTTCTCACTTTCTCTCTCTCTCTCTCTCTCTCTGTCAGTCTCTGGTCAAATTAAAATAAATAAATAAACAAACAAATAAATAAATTTAAAAAGTTAAATGAAAAACAATTCTTTAAAAAAAGAATCGTTGCTCTTCTTTTTAAAAGGAAATATTTTTAGTAAACAGTCAAAATCTTAACTATTATTTGCCATTGCTAGAACTTGATATAGTCACATACATTAGCTATCTAGCTACCAGTAATTTGAATTTGAATAGTTTCTAGTTGTTTAAGACCTTGGAGAATAATTTCTAAGGGATACTCAAATGACAGAGTTTCATGGTCTGGCTCTTCTCTTCCAGTAATAACTTGTTTGAGTGGATAGTTGTGACTAAATCATAATAAGGAACCCCGTTCACGTAGAGTCAGAGGGAAAATATGATATCCAAAGCCTTTTCCAAGACACCTGAGTTTGAGTACTACTCTTTATGGTAATAACCAGATCAATTCAAAGCCCTGATTTTGTTTACTTGCCTTCCACTGTGTTTCGGAAACTGTTTGTAGAATTGGAATAAAAAGGAGGTGTGTCAAATAAACCGACTTCCAAGCACTGAGCGACATCCTGTGGTTCAGGAAGACGTTGCACCATTGGTCTAGCCACATTTCCAGCTGGGTTTCTCCTAATTGGCCCACTCTCAGTGCCTGGAAAAAGAAGTATGCAAACACAGTGTGTTTAGAGGTCTTGCTGTTGCTCTTTAAAGCGTTATACATAGCATGAACACAGAGAGAGGTTTTCCTAAAAGAAGAGAAAATTCAAAACCACATACTATGAACATTAAAGTGAGGAAATATAAGTTACTATGACCTACTTCTGTGAATATTACAGATATGTGATACATAAAAACATCTGAAGAACAATGAAATGATCATACTAACAAATATAGGTCTTGGTATTTATTAAATCAACATAGATTTCTTTCATGAGAATGTATTAAAATGAAATGTCCATGGAAAATTGAATTTTGCCAAAATATTCTTGTAAACCAAAATTCCATACTGAATTATATGTTTCACATATAAATAGAAATTTATACCAAATGTCATCTGTTTCCAGTCTTCAGAGAAATAAGATAACAAAACCTTTAAACCTCTTTGGAAAGTGGTACATATTTCAATCAACACACATTTTCCTGCTTCATCAGCAATCGATATGAGAATAAACTTTTCAAAGGGCAAGAATGCACAGGCAAAAAAGGGCTGTGGTTCTAGGAATAGGTAATGTAGATGCCTTAAGGCAGAGAGAGAGAGAGAGAGAGAGAAAGATCCCTTTCAGTCAATAGCTCTACAGAGGATTCATAAAGAAGAGAGATTTATAAAGAGCCTTGAAAGACTGAGGAGAATTTCCATAGGTGACATCAGAGAAATTTTATAACCAACATTTTAGGTGCAGAAAATAACAGGAGATGAAAAGCTTTCTTCTGCCTACAGTAAAACTCCCATGAGAACAAGAAATCTATCTGTCCGTATGTATCAGTGTATCCCTAAGACTTGGCACAGTGCCTGGCATTTAACAGGTACTGAATAGTTGTCGGTGCATGTCACTATATGGGAAATGATCATGCCAGCTGCAAAAAAAAAAAAAAAAAAAAAAAGTCTGTTCAGTGAATAGTTTCCCTAGAGTAATGTCAAGGAGGGAGAGCCTGGATGGGGGGGAACACTGGAAACTAAACCAGAGCCATATTGTGAAGAAATCAAATGCCAGGATGAGAAAGTTATATTTAATTTACTAGGAAGTGGGGGAGAGGAGTCTGGTTGAAAGCATTTTGTACCAGTCTGTCTCCAGAGAGAATGTGTATGTCCAGGAGAGACCAGCAAAATAATACATGGAACAGTGAGACACAATGCTACAATTTCAACTCATATGCCATTAAACTCGTCATAAAATTTTCCATGTTGTATGTTTTGTAAGAAACATAATTAATTAACATAATGAAATTTATATAGCATATAAATGAAACAAAGGCTTATTTTGGACTAGAAAGTGTGTGTGCATTTGTTTTTTCTTTGAGAGGTTTTTGCTATAGGGAGCATGCACTCACTAGAAAGACAGAGAGACAAAGCAAGAGATCCCCCCAGCGGGGATGGCCACGTTGCAATCCCATCTCCTCCACTCTCCTCTTGAGATCTTGGGCACACAAGCACACATGTCCGGAGGAGTTTAAGCCACTGGATCCAGGACTTGAACCACAGTCAACTACATGGGAGTCCAGCAATCTGCTGGTCCCTGTGTGTGCGGTTTCTGGGGTGTGTATTGTTACCAGAAACTTTCAGACACTACTAGTTAAACTCTACATTTTTTTTTTTTTAATTTGCCAGAGACTGTGTGTACTCACAGGGAGAGTAAGAGAAAGTGAGAAAATACCCCTTCATAGGGGATAGTCATGTCATTATCCCTTCTCCTCCATTTCTCCTTCATTGAGGAATTTTAGGCTTACACGCACATATGTGCCTGGTATGTTTGTCAAGCTGATTGGACCAGGAGGACTTGAATGAGGTAGTTGGCTGTGTGAAAATCAGCTGTCTTAGCCATCACATCACAGACTGGTCCATAGTCTATCAATTCAAGCTGATGTTTTAGGGATTAGTGTTTAAGGAGCTGTCAGTAAATCACCCCTAATAAGTATTGGTTACTTGGGCTTCAAAACTCTACCTACTAATTTAACTTCATGAATTTCATAGTGGAGAATTCTACTAGTGGAGAAACTAGTAAGGCCAGTTTATTTTTTATTTAGAGATTTTTAAAAAGAATTATTTATTAAATTTAATTAATTAATTAATTAATTAATTTTTGAGAGGTTTTTGCTATAGAGTGTGTACACTAAACAGAGAGACAGAGATACAGAAAGCAAGAAATCACCCCCCAGGAGATGGCCACACCACAATCCCTTCTCCTCCATTCTCCTCTTGGGATCTTGGGCATGCATGCACATGTGCTCAGTGTGAGTTTAAGCCACCACATCTGGGACTTGAACTGCAGTCAACTACATGGGAATCCAGTGACATAGCCATTATGCCAACTGCTGGTCCCTATTATTATATTTTTAAATTTGACCAGAAAAGTGCCAGCAGGTGGTGAGGTGGTTAAAGGTGTGGGACTCGCACATAGCTGACCATGGCTCATGTCCCAGACCTGGAGGCTTGCTTGCTTGCTTTCTCTCTCTCTCCCTCTCTTTATCTCTGTCTTGCCATGGTCAAATTAAAAATAACAATAATGATACATAAAATAAAGGAAATAATTCTTTTAAAAATAATTGACCAGAGAGAGACAGAGAGAACGAGAAGGAGAAAGTGAGAAAGCCAGCTGCCAGGTCCAGGACTCAAATCTCAGTTGGCCATGTGGGAGTCCATCCAGCACCTTAGCTACCTCACCACGTACTGGCCCCAACTTAATAATTTTTAAGTTTCTTGGCACATGGACAACTTCTGTCATTACACCTCTTTATATACTAGAGATCAAAATCCTGTGGAATTCCCACATAGGAATGAATGGAAAGTTCTGAATGTCCAAAGGAGAAAATACATTTGAAAAGGTATTGTTAAGACAGAATAATATTTTTCGTATGAGGAATCAAAGAAGGTATTTTAGTGGCTAAAAAAAAAATAACTCGCAATAAATTACTTTTTTAAAATATGAGCTGCCAATAATTCACTTTTCAATAACTCACTACTGAGTTTGGTGCATGGATGTAATGTGGGAGAAATACTCTGCAAAAAGCATTCAGAGACGTGGGTATGGAATGTGAGGGGGGCTGGACCTAATGATGTATTTGTATGGGTCTCCTGTGAAAAAGGATCAGCAAAACCACAGGAAACGATAAAACCACCTATGAAGAAAAGTGGATTAAATATCACATAAAAATACTGATAAAATATTAGTTTCTTTTTTCTCCTTGCCTCGTAAGTAAAATGGTTGGCATTTATATCTTGAACTGAGAAAAAAGGTGATCTTAAACTTTACTTTAATTAAAATAAATAATCTTCAATTTGCATGAAACTATTGTGCCTGAGTTAGGAGGTCTTTTTACATTAATTGACAAGAAAAATTGTGATGAAAACTAATTTTCCCTTTATTTTTCCCTATTATTCTATAATCTTATTTACTCATTTAAATTTTGCTTTATTTTCATAGCTGATCATCAGGATGATTGGAAATATCAGGAAAACTCCTGGTCAAAAATACAATAGCCTGGTTAGAAAGAGCTGAGCATTTTGGTATTGAAACTATCTTGATCCTCAATTTCATTTCTCTGCCGCAAGGTGGGATCAGTCATTCAGCTTCACAAACAAAAACTTACTCTAATTTTTAAACCTCTATGGAGGAAAATGTCATACACTATCACTTCTCTTAGTCCTAGAAACAGATAAATATTTTTAAGAATTATTAATTTAGTTTTATTAATTATTATTTTTTAAAAATTTATTACAGGACATATGCAGTCACCAGAGAGAGAAGAAAGAGAGAGAGAGAAGAGAGAAAGAGACAGAGAAAAAAGAGAGAATAAAAGCAAGCTGCCAGGTCCAGGACTCAAACTGCGTTTGACTGAGAGTCCAACGCCCTAACCACAGCCCCACCTGCTGGCTCCACTAAATAATATTTTAATGGTGAAAAAATATACCTAATGCCACTCGATATATTTAGTATACTCTCATTAATTTTTAGAAATTTTTATTTATTTCTTCCATGAGCAAGAGAGACAGAGAGAGAAACACACACACAGAGACAGAAAAATAGTACCCCTAGTAAAGTCACAATACCGAGATCCACTCCAGTATGAGCTGACCGCAGAGCATAGGCACACACATCCAGAGTACTCAGGGAGGTCTTTGAACTTGAACTGGAATCTGCCCATGCAGGTCAGCCTCCCAGAGTATTGCATTTTAGCACTGCGTCACCATCTGCTCTGTAGGATACTCTCTTTTTAAGTTTATAAAATAATTTAATATCTGTTGTACAGAAAGATATATAAACATACATGTTATAAAGTAAATTCTAGTAAGTTTTTGTATAGAAGACCAAAAGTTCAAAATAGCTGGACATGGCCTAGCCTTGGTGGCAGTCAGTTGCATACTGAGCTTCAAAGCTGGAAGCCACGTGGCAAAGTATTAGTTTGGATCCCCAGTGGACCTGAAGACACACCAGGTGTGCACACACACCCAAGAACTTGACTAGCTGGAGGGCTGGGGAAGAGGATTAGACTGTGATGAGACCACGTCAAGGGGATGCCTGTCTGTCTTCTATCTCTAATGTGTGTACACAAGCGATCTCTCATGAATCATCGTTGTAACAAAAATACATAGTCAGACATGCCTGAAGAAAAAAAATCAGATGGGTTAGGAGACTCTAACAATGAAGACATGTGTTAGTAGCACAAGAACAAATAATATGAACTAGAAAGAAATAGAAAGCTCAAGAAGAGATGAGTAAGACAGCATACTTGACCTATGAAAAGTAGGATGCAGATAACTGGAGAAGGGATGCCAGGACAACAGATTAGGCATTATCTTACTGTGTCCATCTGGGAGAGCTGAAAAGTATTAATAGCAGGCTGACAGACATCTTCTGTACTGTAGCTTTCTTTTCTAAAAGGTTTCTCTGGTCTCACATAGTAGTTTTTAACTCTCAGTGTAAAAGCTTAAAGAAAATGTTCTCCTTTTCTTTTTCTTTCATCCTTCTTTCTTTTTTGTTTCCATCTTTTTTTCTCTCTCTCATCCTCTCTCTCAGAGAATTCCAAATTGTTTTGGATGTTTCATTCTTTTGGAAAACATTTTCTATGAAATTCCTGCACAAGACACATGACTATTAAGCAGCGCTGAGTGTACTAAGAGGATTAATTTATGCAGCTGGCATTGCCAAAATAAGGAAGTTAGTGATGTGCTGCCCAAATTACTCAAGAAAAGCAATGGAAAAATGTATAGGCACTTTGAGTTTCCCCTGGAGCACTGTATAGATTGCCTTGAATATCCTAAGCGTACAACCAATATCTATGCATTGATTCTCTGTAATAAAAGTAGATGTTAGTTTGAAGTCCTGAGTAGAACAAAGGGCCTTCCAGCTAACACAATTAATCTCTTTACGTAATAAGGAATTCTGACTCTTAGCTGTCATTTGGAGCTTACTGTTGCAAAGTGTTCCCAGAGTATCATAATCTTGCACAAATTCACAGACCACTCGCCATTGAGAAAAGACAGAGTTGGGGCTTATGAGCGTGGCATCAAAGTTGCTTCGCGATCCCATCAAGTCGTCCGTGCAGATATCACAGACGTTCCTTCCAGTTGCAAAATTCCAGTAAGGAAGGGAGAAAGAAGGCTCTTGCAACATTTCCTAGATCACAAAAATTCTGTTAGTATTCTTCGTTTCTGTTTAGACCTCTTTTTTTTTTTTTTTTTTGTTTCGTTTACTCTGTGAAAGTCTGTCTCAATTTCCACTCTTCAGTCACTAAGGAACTAGTTAGTCTATCAGTGGTGTCTGAGAGGCCCAGAGGGGTTAAACACCTAATTTCACAAAGCTTGTAATTTATTACAAGGAGCTTTGTAGGCAATGGAGGGAATAAAACAAACCTATTATATAGAAATTTCTGCAAATTATTTTCAGGGAAAAGTTCTTTTCTTTTCTTTCTTTCTTTCTTTCTTTCTTTCTTTTTTTTTTTTTTTTTTGGCAGGTAATTGCATTTCTATTGTTTACACCTAAAATTATCAATAAATACACCCACTCTTTGATATCCCCATTTTGTTTAATTTTTCGGTCTTTAAGTATCATTAACTTTTTTTTAAAGCCAGATCCAATGTTGAACTATATTTTGTTAAAGTGATTTCTTTTTGTTTTGTTTCTGTTTTTTAATTGAACTGGAATGACTTCAGTTATTTAGATTTTGGTATGATGGGGCCCATATGGGCTCTTTCACACTTAACCTGCTCTGGCATCCAAGGTTATTTTGAGATCCTTGCTTCAGAATCTAATCTGAGACTCAGGCTTTTGCTAGAGACTCATAGAGACAAAATATGTGTTTTGAAGCAAAATAAATATTGTGCCTATTGTTCTTTAGACCAGATGTCTATTTTCCCTTTTGAGCTGTTCTCACATATTTTAAAACGCAGGACTTAAGATCACATACTTGTTTTATGGGGTTTTGTAAAACATATATTTACTTGTAATTTCTTTACCTCTCTCTTTTTTGGCTTTTGGGGAGTTATATATAGAGTGCGGGATTAAATGCAAGGATTGCGATTGCTTCACCTTACTTCTCAAGCACTCAGTGCGTTTCTGCTTCCTCACTTTAAATCCTTTTCTAGGAAGCATTTTCTTAGCCTTGGGTGTTTTAGAGGCCTAAAAGCTTTCCAACGCATCCCCAGTTATTGATCTCAAGGGGTCTGTAGTCCTCATTTAGAAGCCATCACTGTGGCTCAGAAAAAATTAGTGACAGTTTCCAAGGGATCATTAGGAGTTGGTTTGTGGCTCAGCAGCTGACATTTGGGAGCCAGAGCATATTCACATGGCATTTCAACTGTGCATTACATTGAGATTGTAATTCGTTAGATCCCTTGTGCTATTAGTTTTAAAAAATGTAAGCCATAGAGGGAGAAGTTTACACTGGCAAAATTGAAGCTTTTAGATACTTTCCACCTGCCCTTTCATTTTGGTGTACCCATGGGAAAATGACTTCAAGACATGAAGATCTGGAGCCGATTACAAATGACAGATTTATCTACTCATAACCTACTAAATGTCTTACTTGTAATCAGTACATAAAATATGATGTTCACAGTATCAGATGAATCCATTTAATCACCCTCAAACTGCATATGGATAGACTACTTTCAAAGAACATTTTATTCTGCACATTAATTCTCTCTCTTCTTTTTTTTTCCTTGCAATAATGCTGTCATAAGCATCCTGTAAATCAATAATGAACCTAAATATCTTTCCTGCCTTCAGACATTTGTAGGTTAATTTTTAGATTTTGAATTGTGGAAAGAGATTTACTGCTGTTATATCATGTAGAAAACAGGTTTAATTTGCAAAATTCCTAGTTAAGATGTTATAATTTAAAATTGATTTTAGAATTATAATATGTTTCTCAAGAAACAGCAGTTGATAAAAAAAAATATATAAAATACACATAGTACCAGAGATATCTTAATGTGTTTGAGCTAATCACCCTGAAATAACTGTGCTTGAGTTGGGATTCACTTTATGTCAAAAAAACCTCAAGGACCTCTAAATAAAAATGATGCCTGACTGATACGATCACTTTGGTCTTTTAAAAAAACTATATATATTTAGGGCATAAAATATTTTTAAAAATAATAGTGATTATTACAAACAAGCAAATCAACATATCTATCATCTTGTATAGTGATTTTTAAAATGTAAGATATTTTAAAAGAATTATTCACTTAACTTTATGTATTATTATTATTTTTAAAAATTTTCTATAAGGCACACATGCTCACCAGAGAGTGACAGAAGGAGAGAGAGAGAAAGTGAGAAAGCAAGCCACCAGGTCCAGGACTTGAACCATCATTGCCCATGTGGGAGTCCAGTGCCTTAATCACCATGCCACCTAGTCACCCTAGTGATGTTTTAAAATAGGTTTTTGCGGTAAATCCCAAAGTGGCAGGGGAAAAAATGTATTTCAATGAAAATGATGATCTAAGGGGATAAGAACATTGGAAAAAAGTCACCAAGTAGTTTGATGTGGTATACATTTGAGAGTAAAACACTGAAAACCCCTCCCACCTTGTCTTCTGGGAGGGGTATCTGCTTACTTTTAGGAGACAAGGAAGACATGTCAAATGAGATTTTTGTGTGTGACTTAAAGTTATATGAGAGTCTGTTTTCCAACTGTAGAGCTTTAGAATATTTTCAAACTTTTAGTGCACACCTAACAATGTCTCAGTTGGCTTCCCATCACTGATTTTCTTTTATTTTCACGTTACAAAAACTACAGACTAATTAATAAGTCAGTCGGTAATCAGTAAAGGGAGAACCTTAACTGGACGACAGAAGTAAATAGTATGACATTGTTCTGTCATCACGTATTCTGATCATTAGAAAAAACTGAATTAAAATGACTTACAAACAAAGCACCTCATCTCTGAAAGGGTCTAGAAAGTGAAATGTTTCATGCATACCTGCATGTCTCTCTCCAGCTGCAGCAGGTGGTACCGGTGCCATGTGAGAAAAGCTGGTCCTTCATGAGAGAAATCCACTCCACCAAAGCTTTCCTGCCCTGCCCCAAGGAAAGTCTTTTTGACTGAATAATAGTGTGTCCAAACAAAGTAGTTGTAAATGGAAATGTTCTCAAATTGTGGTGTGTTGCCATCTGGCCCCAATATTTCTTCTGATCTCCTGGTGGCAATGACAAATAGAGGGTGAATCGTGCGCTTCGCCATGTCCAGGGCCCGGACAAAGTGGTTCTTTTCTTCTGTACTTAAGTCCAGAAGATTTCTCCTGACTTTAGGGATAAAAAATTAAAAATTGAAAATACTTGCCTTGTGAGAATGGATAGATAATGAGCACAATTACCAGGCAACATGTATGTCCCACTTATCCCTTAACAGTTGCATGCACATAGATTCAAGCCTGTCTCCAATTATTTTATACTTTTGAAAATACTTCTACCTAAAACCCCTTCTTCAGATGTGCTTTGTTTTTCTCTTTCCCACCCTCTCTTTTTTTTCTCTCTCCCAATGTACTCTAAGGTTTCTGTTGGTTTTCTTTCATCTCACTTGTGAGTTTTAGGAATCTGTGATCCTATTACGTTCTGCTTACTACTGGTACTTTTATCGGGATTTTATACCTTTTTAACATAATCTTACAATAAAGCAAAGTAAGTGGTATAGCATAGTGGTTAAGACCAGAGACTTGTTCTAGGACTTTGAGCACATTTTTCTCATTTTTTTTTTCATTTGTAAAGTGTGGATAAAAATAATACTTGTGGGGCTGGCAAGTGGCATGGTGGTTAAGAGTTCTGGACTCCCACATGGCCGACCAAGGTTCAAGTCCCAAACCTGGTGGCTTGCTTTCTCTCTCTCTCTCTCTTTCTCACTCTGTCCCTCTCTGGTCAAATTAAAATAAGTAAATAAATAAAGTTAAATAAAATAGTTCTTTAAAAAAATAATGCTTGCTTTATAGAGATCAAAGAACATGCACATAAAAGGCAATTAGGCCTGGGCCTGCCTCATAATAAAGACTCAGTATATGTTCTGTTAGACCCTTGGTCCAGTGTCTGACACAAAAACAAAAACAAAAACAAACAAACAAAAATCAAATATTGCTAGCTGTTAGTATTTAAGAGTTTGTTATTTAGTGCTATTTAGGCTGAAGGCCAAGCTCACTGTCTAAAATGCCTGAATTTGATCCACCACAATGGGAAATTTCTTTGTAGGTTATCAGGGTAGTGGAAGAAGCTGAAATATTAGAACTAGGCAGCTCTCAATGTGAATTCCAGGTTGACTATATGCCAACTATGCGATTTGACCTTTCTGAACCTCACTTATGACAATGAACACAATTACCTTAAGAGTTAGTGAACGAACTAGTCATGAACACCTCACACAGTCCTTAGCCTATTTGTTGAACCACACATGTTTTGTAGAAAAATGTTATTAGTCAATTAGAAAGTCTGAACTTCAACCCCAATCCTTTAAACCAAACACATTTCTTAATCTTTAAACCTCAGTTTCTTCCACTGTGAAAAGAGAGGGCTGACCCCTGTGATTTCCAGGTGTTCTCCCAGTGCGAATGATGTAAGGATTCTATTAAAAGCCTAAAGCCTCAAGCAGGACTGTTTGCCGGTTTGTATCCTCACTCACCTATGAGAATCCTCTGGTCACAGGCAGCCCCTCGCCACCCAGGGCGGCAAGTCCCACAGTTGTGTCCTGAGAAATTGCCATTGCAGTGGCATGTCCTATTGAAGAACCGCAAGGGCCAGACTTCCCGATCATCTCTGCCATCATGGGAATACTGGGGACTGTGGGGTCGGGAGTCTGCGGTCACAGCATCACACCTGCCCCTCCCTGATGATGAGCCACAGCGGTCTGTCCCAGGTCCAGACACAGGGGACAGGTCTGGGCAACACACACCACTTCTCAAAGCCTCAACGGTGGTACACTCTCGTGGGAACTGAGCCGAGATCTGCTGGAAAAGCAGCAGAGGAAGGAAGACACATCCCAGACAGAGGATGTTAGGTGCTCTCATGCTGCTTGAAGGAAGAGTGCAGGACAAAGCTGGCTTGCTGTCCTTTGTAAAGAGCACACTGAAGCACACAGATTAAAAACCTAGCTGAAAAGGAGAGAGCAGAATGGGATTATGCAAGATATTTTCTTGGTACTTGTAAATAGTGCAAGTCCTCCCAACCTATCTTCGAGATGGAATCCATGATCTGTAAAAACAGTATTTCAAACAAATAATAAAAATGATAATTTACTTTTAAATTTTTGACATGCATAATACTGACATAATTAAATTCCCTATCTTTAATATTTTTCATTTTTCATTTTCTATTTATATAAAACACTTATTCTTGATATTTATCAAAAGCATTTATTAGCAGGTCACCATCATTAATTATGTTTAGCCATGAGGCTGAAAGAAAAATCGGTAACAGATTTTCATCAAGTTAATATCCAAGCTTTAAAGCCCTCTAACCTAATGGGGTTTTGGCAGCCGTCCACCCAGTCCCCACTGAGCTTCTCTCTAGTACCTTTAAGTCCTGAGGGGTTTCTCTGCTGAACTTCCTTTAGAGCCTTAGAGCTGAGTATTTATATTTGCGTGTCCCCTGATGTCAGAGCTCTTAATTACTTGTGGGTTTCTGCCTGGTAACTAATCCCAAATCTGCCCACCCAGACTGGGAGGGGCTGGTCCTCTTCTCCACCCTTTACTAATCCCTTTTCACTTCAGTGAGATTTTCTGCCCTTAAGTACTTGGTCAGCACATGATTCCTTTCCCACTGCTCTCCTTGTGATGCTTAAAGTTTTGAGGAAAGGTCAGAAGCACAAATTTGGAATACAAGTCAGAGAAACTAGAGAGCTCTTGCTTTCATTGTAAAGATTTTATTGTTAATTTTTTTTCTTTTTCTTTTGGTAGTATAACCTTACGGATGAAACAAGATTTATTACTCTTCTTAGTGTCACAAGGACCCATCTAGTGCGTGCACCTGATGGTAGCTTTTGGTTCTGCCCAGTCTTAAACACAGATACTAGACTGGCGCGGTAGACTAGTGGTTAAAGAAGCCAGATCGCACTGGCTAAGACAAGTTCAAATCACAGCTCAGTAGCTTGAAAATATGCCAGGTACATATGCATGCATGACCCAATCCCACCAGGATGGGGAACTGGAGAAGGAGCTGCAAGGTGAGAGCACCATCGAGTACTGCTTTCTCACTCTCTGTTTTGCGGTCTCTCTCTGGCGATTGCACATGCCCTCTGGCAAGTTAAAAAAAAAGCATACAAACAGACGCGCCATTCTTAAATCATGTCTAGAAAGAATAATTGTAGAAAAGGCATTGGACAACGTTATACCGAATCACATGACATTAGGTATTATGGTGCCTACTGACTTTGACAGACTGAATTCTTCAACCCCGTCACCTGCATTGAGGCTGGTATCCCTCTCTTTGACAAGTTACATGTGGTCACTACTACTCCTATTATTTTAAAATGCTCACTAAATGCTTTATTTCCTGCTTTCTCTGTAAACTGATGTAATCCCATGGCACTAAGTGTAATAGATTCATGTATTTCAAGAGGAATTTTCTCCTAGAGTTGAAAACTGATGCATATGAAGTCAATTTTTAAATGTAAGCTTTAGCTTGGAATAAATATTAAGTTGTTTGACATTTTACGTGTCATGACTTTCTTGACAACCCAATAATTACTGTTAAAAAGTCATAAGAACTTATAGTCAGGATTGGGTGCCTTATTTACTCTAAGTCATAAAACTGTCCAGAAAACCACACAAGGGGCCTTCAGAGAGTTAATAGAAAAAAGGAATTAAAGTATAAGCTTATTTGTAAAAAAAATTAGAAATTCATGCACTGTTTTATTTAACATATCACTGTAAAAATATGCCACAATATATTTACCTTTTCTTTGGTAAGTACGTATTTGAATTATTTTCCAGAACGTTTTTCTTTTTTTAATCTTATGAACAAGGTTGCTGTGAATGATATTTAAATGTTTCCTACTGAAAATAACACATTATTTTAGGTAAATATGTAGAAAGGAGATTGCTAGTCAGGTTTTGTGAATAGTTACAAGATAATTCTAAATTTTTTTTTAAAGTGTTTGTATCGGGATCAGCAATTAGTATAATGGCTATGTTGCTAGACTTCCATGTAGTTGACTGTGGTTCAAGTCCCAAACCCAGTGGCTTAAACTCACGCTGGACACATGTGCGTGTGTGCCCAAGATCCCAAGAGAAGAATGGAGGAGAAGGGATTGCGGCATGGCCATCCCCCCCTGGGGAGTGATTTCTCGCTTTCTGTCTCTCTCTGTCTTTCTGGCAAGCACACGCGCCCTATAGCAAAAACCTCTCCAAAAAAAAAGGAAAAGTGTTTGTATCAATTTGTATTCCCACCAGCAGTGTTTAGGATTTCTTATTAATTCACAAATTTGCTAACACTTGATATTAACAGACTTAATTGCCAATTATAGATAAATAAAATATTTTACTTTATAGCTAATGATTATTACAGTTTTATCCCACTTTTTTTTACTGTGAAACTTTTTTTAATGTCTACTACCCATTTGTCCAGTGTGGTTTTTGTCTTCTTGATAAATAGAAATTCTTTATGGACTCTGAACTCTAATCTTCTGTCAAATAAATATATTGATGAAATCTTATTCTTATTTATGGCTTAACTTTGACAGTCTTTTTTTTTTTTCAGTTATTTATAATATTTGCTACAGGGTGTGTTCACCAGCGAGAAACAAGGAAAGTGAGAAATCGTTACCTGAGGAAATGGCCATGCTACAATCCCTTCTCCTCTAGTCTCCTCCTGGGATTTTGGGCACAACTGGACATGCACCAAGCATTGTTTTCAAACTGCTGTATTTGGGACTCAGACTATATAGCCAGTCATGTGGGATCCAGTGCCTCAACCTCTAAACCATCTGCTAGCCCTTAATTTTCACATTCTTTACACAGTATTCTGATGAATAGCTCCTAATTTTAATTAATTATTAATTTTTTGTTTGTTTTTGTAATTTGGTGAAGGGTACATGCTTTCACCAGAGAAAGACAGGGAAGAAGAGGGAAAATGAGAAATTACGCCCCATAGAGAATGATCACACTGCAATCCCTCCTCTTCCATTTCTCCTGTTGGGATTTTGGGCAGGCATGCACATGTGCTTGGTGTATTTTTCAAGTTACTGTGTCTGGGACTTGAAGTATGCAGCTGGCCATGTGGGATGTAGCTCTCTTAACCACCACACCATTCATAATTATTTTGAATTGCAGCAAACTGAATTTTGGTTAGTAGTTTCTATGTCTTGGTTAAGAATGAGATCCTCATTCCAAGACAAAGTAATATTTTCTCATATTGAATTTAGTATTTGAAATATTGTCTTTCATATTTAAATTTTTAAACACATATGAAATTGGATCTTGTGACTGATGTAGGGTAAGAATCATAATGACATTTTTAATACCATATCATAAACCACTTGTCAGAGCACCATATACAGAAGACTCTATGCTTTCTCCAATCATTTGCAATATAATGCTTTCAAATTTTCATGTATGAACCAGGTGTATTTCTGGTAATGCTAGTCTGGTCTGTTGGTGAATTTGACTATCCTTGTGATAGTACTTCATATTCTTGATTACTACTACGAGTATTTTTATAGCCTTACTATGGTAGAAAAACCTTTTCCAAATTTCCCTTTTTCCAGAACGTTATCTAATCTTATTTTTGACAACATTTTGTTCAGAATTTTCAGCAGCTATGTTCAGGAGTAGAACATGGCTTAATTATTCCTCTAGCATTGTCCTTGTGTGTGTTTGGCAGCAGTTATTCTAGAATCATTGAGTAAGTTAGGCAGTGCTTTTCTCTTTATCTATGAAGGTATTTAGCTAATATTGGGATAAATAATTTCTTATAAAGTAACTTGGGGGGCCAACCTGTGGTATGGGGATAAAGGTGGCTGGATCGTATTTGGCTGACTGTGAGGTTCAGGTCCTAAACGTAGCAGCTTGAAAACACTCCAGGAGTATATGTGTACTAGTCCAAAATCCTAAAAGGAGTAAGAGGTGAAGAAGGAATTGCCTTATGACCATGCCCATGGGAATGTTTTCTAACTTTACCTCTCTCTCTCTCTCTCTCTGTCTACTTGTCTTTGGTTGGTACATGTCCCTCTGGCAAATTACAACAAAATATTTATAATAATGAAGAACTAGAAATAAAGCAGAAATTATTAATCATGTATTAATGAAAAATATAACCATTAATATTAATATTCTGTGATATTTTATCTAGTGGGGAAAAGTCTAAGAAACATTAACTTTATAAAGCATATTGTAGCAGTTTATAAAAGGTACATATATAATTCCTATTTTATCAAATAAATAAATTTTGCACAAACTCACATGCATACACATATAGGTGAAACACTTAATAATAATACAGATTAATAACCTGTTAATGATACAGATGAAGTCAAGTTGTTATGTCAGGGACTCTAACCACACAGTCATGTGGGATCCAGCCACCTTAATCACCATGCCATGGACTGGTTCCTATTATGAATAATTTTTTGATGAATTCTTAACCTCAGGTTGCTTTCTTAGCTTACTTTTCTATCAGCATAATGCTTGGGACAGAGAGCTAAAAAAAATGCAAGATTTTTTATCTATATTAGTAAATGACTATGAATAATTACAACAATTATCTATTTCTTCATTTCTTCCAAATAATGGCTATCATTTTTCAAAACAATTTAATTTGACTATGGTAAATTGATATCTCTTTGTGGGTTCTGTTTCATAAATGAAGTTGCATAAATGACTTCTTCATGAAGTTCATTTCTCTTTTACCATTTATGAATGTCTTATTTATGGACTAGGCTCAACATTTTAATGGGATGCTGATCACTTTAATACGCAGTTATTAGGATTCTTTATATAGTAAAGTTTTAGCTCTCTGCATGTGTTTCACACAACAAATACATTTTTAAGTTTGTAACTTTTGTTCAAGTTTT